AGCAGGCGCAATATTTGCATAGCATATATTTTGAAATTATGCTGTGTAGAAGATTTCTATCACAGATGCAGAGAAGAATCAAAGCCAAAGTAAAGTTTCCTTCCCCACCTTGGTGAAGGAGCACCATCAGTACTGTATATAGCTGAGACTGTAGCTCCATTGTCTACTTCTGTGCAAGTGTCCTGTAGCTACCATTCGCTGCCCACAGGAGCTTGCAGTCTGAGGAGGACCAGATAAACTGGTCTCACGTTCCAGATAGGCCAGGAGGGGAGAGAGGAAGCATTATTGCCAAATCAAAGACGGAGAACTGCAGCAGTTCTCTTATAACAGTAGTAGTAGCTCCTGCAGTTACTACAAAGCCTATAGGGACCTGTGCAGTGACTTTCAGAAAGCTTTGGATCAAGCCTGAAGTTTCTTGCCAAAAGGCACATAACCTGTGACAGGATCAGAAACAACCAAAATGTCCTGAGCTTCAGCACAGTGTTTAAAGCACAGAGATGTCCTGCTGCCTTAGTCAGTGTACGTTCTAGTGTTGAAATGGAAAATGTAGTACTGAAAAATAACTGTGAGGCTCAGGCAGTAAGGCTTTTATTCTTCATTTTTTTCTATATCAGGAGTCTCTGCCTTCTGCCTGAATGCACATATCGTGTCTCTGCCTGAATGCATATTGTGTTTGAAATAATTCAGCACAATACAAAACCATTAACCTCATGACTAGAGCAGTGACCTCAGTCCAACGGATAATTGATGTCTTTCCATTGGCAACTAGCATCCTCTCTGGCAACCTCAGCAGAGGACAAGGACTGAGTGGTAGGAAAAGCAAATTAACCTCTTCCCCTTTGAATTTCTTGTCATAGCAAGGATAAGACACGTAAATAGGGCATGCCAGGAAACGTACGTTTATTCTGTGTGAGCTGTGTCTCTGTGTACATGGTTCTGTAGTTGTTTGTTATTTTCCCCAAATGTTCCCTTCACTTAATTATTAAAAATGTATATAATTTACTTCATTTTTGTACACATTTAGGTGAAGGATGTATAGTGCTGTAGAAGAAAAGAAGACATTTACATTTGAAAAAAATAAAGTAGAAATTACAGGTTCAGGTACCTGTTCTGGTGCCTAATTAAGAGACATCAGAATCTCTGAAAAAAATCACTCAAACTTAAAATTAAATCTCATCTTTTTAGCAGTTTGTTAGTCTTTTCCTCACTTTCTTATGCATGCCTGTGTGCAAATGCAAATTTAACTTTGGGTAATTAAGGGAGAATATTTTACCTCAGTAAAATATACTTTGGTATATTTTGTCTAATACTATAGTATATTTTACTTATTTTATTTAGTATGACACTTTAGTATCACATACTAAAATAGGATAGTAACATTTTCTATGCTAAAGAATATCATGAAACTTATTCACTAATGCTTATAAAGTACTTTGAAAGCTTTATACGGATGTACTTTTTGAAAAAACATTTATTTTATTCTACTTCTCTATGCGGTTTTCTGAAATAGAGCTACCTCAGGATACTCTGTACTAAAGCGATACTGATGGAAACATCAATAATTTAGCTTTACATGGTGATTTTGAAGATCTGGGAGTTTTAAAAGCAAACTACATTTTTTCTTGTGTTACAGGATTGCCTGCTCTAGTGATAGCAATTGTTTTAGCAAGTGCAAATACAAACGCAAGTCACGTTTATGGCAAAGAATTATACGGCAGAGATGCTAACGGGCAAGGAGGAGACGATTTGTGAGTATTTCTTTTAATCTCTTATAATTTAGCATTTACAGACTGCAAGAAATTTAGCATTTGTCAGATTGCTTTGAAAAAGGCATGGGTGTATAAAACAAGCAAAGCGGATGTGGCTGTCTTCTAAATTATTTGTATCTGAAAAGCAAAGAAGGCTATGAGAAAAATTGGAGGCAAGTCTGCATTACCCAGTGCCATGGGAAAACACCCATCTGACAAAAGAATGACCCATAAGTTTTGTTCCACAAAAATAAAAATATCAGTTTTGATTTATCTTAAATGAAAGCTATGTATTCTAGGTGACAACAAGAAAAACGTAGTATAAAAATAGTTTCCTTTGTAGATAAAAAAGCCTTTTGTCAATGTAGGTCATTCGCTTTCTATGTCCTCATCTAGATGTCCGATAATAATTTCCAAACCTCCAAATTCTTATTTGACTGTTTGTTATCTCATTTTCTGTGCCTTGCCAGGCAAAGCTTCATGATGATAAATAGGTCGTTGTGTATTTTTATTAAAGCATCATGGAAAGCATTCAAGCCATTTGCTGCTGGAGGACTAAGCTGGATCTTCTCAAATGGCTGGCTGTCGTATGACTGAAAGGACTACCCATGTAGTTTCTTTCTTAGACCTGTTTGAGTTCTCCTCAAACTGCTCAAGTGGCAGAAACTTGAGACCTTGGCACTGAAGCTCCAAGTTTGCCTCTGATGTGTGTATGTAGCCCATTCTGTTAGTACAGCAGCCTGTGGCTCACGCTGATGCAAGTGGTGAAGCTGCTCATATTGAGTCTAAACATTTCATGATGGCTTTGCCATTCCCACAGCCTGTATCTGAAGTCAACTTTTCTATCTAATGAGTTTTAAAGTAAAATGAGGTACAAGATACTAAGATACTAATATGGCCCATAGTGTCTTAAACATGCTCTGGGCTTCATCCTATTTACAGATATAAAATGGTTAGAGGTTTTGTTTGAAATGCTGCTCTGCTGCAGTGGAATCAGACATAGGCTTATTTTCCTTGTAGTCATATAAATAACTGAAGCAGAGGATTGTTCGTGTTATCTACAAATGATCGTATTTTGGTATTTTTTACAGCTGCTGGATCAAGAATAAAGTTGTCTTTTATGTGACTTGCGCTGGTTACTTTGGCATCATGTTTCTGATGAACATTGCCATGTTTGTTGTGGTGATGGTGCAAATCTGTGGGAGGAATGGGAAAAGAACTAATCGGACCCTGAAGGAAGAGATCCTGAGGAATCTCCGTAGTGTTGTCAGCCTGACCTTCCTCTTGGGCATGACGTGGGGCTTTGCCTTTTTTGCCTGGGGTCCCTTAACTCTCCCTTTCTTGTACCTCTTCTCAATTTTCAATTCATTGCAAGGTAAGCTGAATTTCTGTTCTGTGAACAAACAGTATTTGTGCTGTTGATGTTTTGCAAGAAATTATGTCCTCTGATTTGACTAGGGAGCTCAAATCCAAGTTCTCTGGATCTTCCCTTGATACTAGGACATCTAAAGTTTCCCCGTATGTGGAATAATGGTACCTACCTCACATGTTTTGAATGTCTTGGTTAAATTAATGAGTGTTTCAAGGTCTTCCCAATAAATTGCCCTGTATTATAAATAGTGCTATTGAAATGTAACAGTCTGCAGTGATCTCTGTTGACATAGATGCTGTATGACCTTCAACATTTCCTTTCACTGATTATAACAAATATAGGAAGCCTCTTTCCTTAATTTATTCCTGAAGCGAATCTGTAAAACTCATAACTATTTTCTTAAGGCAAAAAGAGCTCATAAAATAAATTTCAGTCCTGGGGAGAGATAGCACAAGCAGATGTGATATGTTTTGGTTCTTTAAGAACAATCCAGCGACTGTTGCAGTCTGCCTGTTTTTGTTTCCTTTACTGAAGTTTTGGATATTTTAATTTTCCAAAATAGTTCATCCTTTAGTTGTGAAAAATGCTGTAAATTATGATCAAACGGTTATAAATTACAAAATTATACAGCTGACATTTAACAGAATTTCAGCTCAGAGCTGATTTGCGTATGTACCAAATGACATAAGAATCTCCACCTCCCCTTGCCCTATTCACCAGAAAAAACAACTAAAAACATAACAAAAAGCAAAACTCAAGAACATCATGGGAGGGGTGTGTGTTATGACACACACACATATTGAGATAAAAAATAAATTTTCCTGGAAGAAAATTATAAAAAGCAAAACCCAAGAATGTCATTGGAGGAGCATGTGTTATGCCACACAAATATTGAGATTAAAAAAATGATCTGCCTAGGGTCAGCAAAATGTCTTTCCTTAATGGAAAAAGTACTTACTGTTACACTGTGTGGATTTCTATCTGTTACAGTTGAGATGTGTTTGCTGCTCTAAAAGATTTATTGAGCTTTCCTGGAAAGAGAATAATGTTGTGGTTTTGGTTTGGTTCAGGTTCAATATAGAACGCTAGGCAAAATGGCAAAAAAATGTTTGGATGTGGCGTTCTTACTAAAGACTCTTTTTCCAAAGGACAGATTCGGATACTCCCCTAGGAGCATAATGAAGTATTTGCTGTGATGTGTCGGTGTTAGATATTCAGAAGGGCCTAGAGAGATTAGAAGTATGGGAAGAACATGAAAAGAGATTAAAACTCTGAAAAGTGTGCCGGGGGTCAATTTCAACAAGTGCTCTTTAACTAAAATTTCCAGTGCAATGAATTAAGCTTGTACGTGCAGAGTGCACACAAGGTAGAGCACCAGTGCTTAAGTCTCTATGGGGTAATAGTGTTATTTAATGAATATGAATATTTGGAAAACAGCTAGGTTAGAAAATGAAACCTGAAAGCACAGGAAGACAACAACCCTTTATCTGATAATGCGTACCGCTGTGTCAGAAAGAGCTGGGAAAAGCTAAAGAAAATCAGGGAAGAGTATGTTTAAAATGGCATATAACTGGTGCAGTGCACATACACCTAGCAGCAAGGCGATTCAGTGGGGCAAAGAAAAATTTAAGGTGCGTATGCAGAGGCGTTCCCTAGTCATAGAAAGTAGTTTGGTGTGGCAAGTCTTTCATGGGAATTAGGATGAGCTTTATTAGTGGAACTGTTAAAACTAGAAAAGACAAAACTTCAGAATTCCCTGAAAAGGTGCTTCGTGCTTTGAGAGGCATATATAATAAGGGACATCTGGCACTTTCTGTGAGCTTTGGATCAGATCTCCATAAATATGGCTATTCCACCTCTCGATTCTTGAATGCTGCACTAATGTTTTAAGCTATCCCAGCAGCCTCCATCAACCTAGTTTTCTATGCATTGGCATGCAGCAGTGAAAAAGTAGGTTGCAGTAACTACTGGTGTTGCTGCACTTTGCTTCTTCATCTACATAGGAAATGATTTTTCTCTCTTTGACACTCAAGAGTAAAAAATCTGGGAACATCTCTTTTTTTGGCTGCTCGTTTTATATATATGCCTGGGCAAGCCAGATACTTTTAAGTCAGAGCCAAGCTAGAGCCAAGCCTAGGGTCTGAATTGGCCCTGGGAAACAAAACCAAAGCTGTATTACTAAAGCACATTGTAAACTTAACGAATAATGAAACACATATAAAAAACATTCAGAGACCAAGCCCAGACAGGGCAAAGTATTTAATGCACTAGATTTCTTTTTGTATTACTATAGACATGCACATTTTCTTTTTTTACAGTTCAGAATGTTCCAGACTTTTACCACAATGTAATTAAACATCAATTTAGTAAGTTTGTAGCAGTGCAAAAATGCTAAGAGATATTGTGGAGCACAAACAGCTGTGTAACTTTAAGCATATAAGAGCTGCTAGTGAATTACATTGGAATTACTCTGTGCTTATAATGAAGCAGGCACAGAAATATGTTACTGAATGGAAACACATTAACTGGAATTCAGGAGAGCTTGCTGTAGTTTGAAGTAAAATTTATAGTTCATTATGGGATGCATTAAGATATGTTTGCCTTTCCTAAATTGTGTTTCTCAATTTTTTCCTATCAGCTCTTGAAAAATTTTGCAAATACTGTATTACATGACACCAGTGTTTATTACCGAAAGGTAACAAATTTAGCTGTTTTGGTTCTCTGACCTCAGTGGGCTCAGCCTGGCCTAAGTGCTGTAAGGAGATACCAGTCCTGTTCCTTGGCAAGCATTCATGCAAAATTACACCTCAGGGCTTTGGAGGACAGAGGATAATTTTATGATTTAGCTGCGTATTTTCTAAGCTCGACCCTGCCCTTGTGTTCCACCAGCTGAAACACGGCGAGCACTGACATACGGAGCTGTATGTGATCAGCACAGAGGAACAATCTTAGAGAACATCACTAAGGCACGTTTGCCCACACTGTGTAGCATTTATTCCCTTTCAAGATGTAATCATGAGGGGTTTGGCTCTAAGGTTTTGCCATCAGGTGTTCAGCCTCAGCTTGGCCGTCTCCCAGTGAATAAAAGTAAGTAAAACAAGAACAGGCCAAGCCAGAGAAAGATGGAAGATTCCAGCACTGGTGCCTGCCTGGGAAGGGCCAAGAGCATATTGTAATTCAGACTTCTATATTTAGCCCTAAAGTTTCTCTGAAGAATGATGAAATCATACCACACGCCCAGCTGAAACCTTGTTTGCTACATGATAGATGCCCATTTTCTTTCTTGAAAATAAAAATTATGTGTTTGCAAGCAAAAAATGAAATCTACACAAACATTCTTAAACATATTTATTGCGATTGCATGCACAAACCAGGTAATTTTCTTCAGAAATATATATTAGGCTGGACACCTAATTAGTACTTTTGAACATTTGCTTACCATTTTCATAATCACTTCAAGTGCATGCATGTGATGCGTGCAAATCCAAGTATTCTTTTTCGGTGCACCCATTTAGTGCCAATTTCAAGCCTTTAGGTTTAAAAAAAATACAGCGCACAGCTCTGTAAATGTGGAACAGGAGGACTTAAAAGTATCCTCTTCTCATAAAATAGTATCTGTATTTAGCTTTGTAGTCTGGTTCTTGCAGTCCTTTTGGTTGCAAAATTTTCATTCATTGCAAAGACAAAACCTTTTAATTATTTTCAGATAAGCCAAAAAATAGTTAAAAGATCCACACTGAGCTGGATATAAATCAGCAATGTCAATACAAGAGGCCCTATTCTCCCCCTTCTGATATCCCGGACACATGTATAGCAGCTAGAGGATGGGATAGCTTTAATTAACTTTAGTACCTATTAAATGAGGCATGCAGGTAGATGACAATAAGAAGACTTGAACATGATTTTCCTTTGGTTTTCCTTTGTAGCATTTTGTTAGCAGATTGCATTTTAGTTAATCTGTTTATCTATTTATAAATATATACTTTATTTGCTATTTATTTGCCTTTGTTGCAGGTTTATTTATATTTGTTTTCCATTGTGCTATGAAAGAAAATGTGCAGAAACAATGGAGGAGACATCTCTGCTGTGGCAGATTCCGACTGGCAGACAATTCAGGTAAAAACGGTTCGTGGCTCCACTCCTTAGATGCTGGCATAGTCTGGAAAAGTCTAGGTGAACAGCGTGCTATTTCATACTTAATGTAATACAATTTAGGGCAGAGATGTGGAAACGTAGAGTATTAATAGGCTATCTCTTCACTTTATTAATAAAAATTGCCAAGGAACCTTTCAGGTATCACGTCATGAAAAGTCTTAAGTCCCCGCTTTAAGTTTTCCACTGAAGGCAGCTGGTAAATTTTGTAGTGCTATGAGCATGGTTTTGGAGGCCCAGGAGACTCCCTAAAAAAACAAAAAGAAGTTAAATTAAGGTTCAGAGGTTCAAATTCTGTCATTCAAAGTCAGTCTTATTCCCTTGCTCCCACTTTACATTATGTTGACTAACTTACGGACTATTAGCTTGAAGTAGGAGTGGTTCTTAAAGGGCAGATAGAAATGCCCTGTGGTCTTTTGCCTTTATCTTCACCTTTTCAAACTATTCTGTCCTTCATTATGTAATTCAGAGAGAGCATGAGGGACCTGAAAACATAAGAAATTCCTTTAGCAGAAGCCTAAGTAGATTCCCGAATTGGTGTCCATCTTTATGACTCTCAGAGTGCAGGGAGAGCACTGCTACCACTGTCCCTTGCAGCAAATACAGTTGCTTTGGACACTTTATTATAGATTACAACACATGGGACACTTTTATAGACGACTTTACCTCTGGCCATCTCAGATAGCATTAGGCTCCTGTGTTTAGGCACATGAATTCCACTTTGCCATGTGCTGTAAAGATTTTGGACTATATAATTCTTGCTCACACAGTTCTTGTTTATTGACCAGGGTTCATATCAGAGGTTGATATAAAGTAGCATAACCTCATTGCCTGGTGTACCCTAGACAAAAACAGTGCTCCAAGTATTTTTTGTGTCCTTTCTCTGTTGGCTTCCAAGGGCTGTTTCAAGCTGCTTCTTCACAAAGAATTCTGTTTTCTCTTGTTCTGTTTTGTTTTTACAGTGCTAGTAAGATAGTGCATTCTCATTGTAAACTATGAAACATTTATGCTTTCGCTTTATACGAAAAAATCCGGACTCATGATCTCAAAGAGTTGATGTGAATTAGGAAAAAAAAAATCATTCTGATCAGGCATCTACATTATTTCGTGTGTTTCGCTTCCATGAGGTACATGCGGTAACTCCTGGACTGGAAAACACAGATGGATCAAATTATTTCCAGATTTTTATGCTGCTGTTGGGCAGCCTATGGGGATGACAGAAATAAAAACCTGAAGGATTCAAGAATTTCAGTGCTCTTACTCAGTGTGCTGTCATTACTCCTAGTGCTAGCTGGTCCATCACCACCAGCTGCTTGTATTCTGAGTGAACCTCAAACCATTAGCAGACCAAAGAGTACAATATGAGTCAAATGTGATCTTAAATTCTTATCTGTCTGAAATGAACTTTAGAATATGTTATGATAAAGCAAAGAAATAGCCAAACCGAAACCCTACCACAGTGTCATAGCTAGATAGGAGAAATAGTAACCTGTTTCCTATTGCAGTAATTCAAGATAAAATCCTTGTCTTCCTATAAACCAAGGCTTAAGACACCCATGTATCTTCTCTGCCATTTTATGAATTTCACTGCAGTACAATAAATTAGAACAGTAACAGCAGCAGTAGGCAGGACTAATGTGTGAAACTGCCTGTACCTACCTGTAAGTATATGTTACAGAAATAGTTAGATACGTTTATTCTGCATGATACTGGTATTGGGACGCTTGTGGTGAATTTTTCAGTGTCAGTTTTCCTTCAAAGGTTTATTGGTATTACTTATTTAACTTCAATTTTGGAAGTTGTTTCAGTATAAGAGTCTGTGGTGATAATGGTTCTGACAAAGCTCTTCAAATATGAACTACTGGATAAACATTATTATTCATTATTATGAATAATGCACCAATATTCTAAACCCTATAGCAACAAGTGCAAATCCGTTAATATGTAGGAGCTCTACAGCAACAGATCAAGCCCTCAAATGGTAAGGCCTCTGTAAATGCTCCTGTCCGACCCTTTGGATTTCTCTGGCCAGATGATGAAACTTTGCATCCTTATACTGCTACAGATCTTCGCTGCTCTCCTACTTCCAGAGCTGGGTCTTACTTACTGTTCTGCCATCCAACCACATGATTGTTAGAGTGTTAGAAATAGAGCCACCAATTTTAACTATTCTGGTAAACAGCAAAGTAAATCAAATTGGAAAACTTATTTTCTCTCTTCAGAAACCAGAAGTCTCTTGGACAGGAAACAGACAAATCATTTGCTATAAGCAGCATTAAGAAATGCATCTGATACTTGGAATGTTCATAATTTGAAGAAATTAGGCATTTAGTACCTTCTGTAATTCATTACTTAAAACTTGTCAATCATTTTTAGATTGGAGCAAGACAGCAACCAACATTATAAAGAAGAGTTCTGATAATCTTGGGAAATCCTTATCCTCTAGTTCCATTGGCTCCAATTCAACCTACTTAACATCCAAATCAAAATCTACCACAAATACATATTTGAAACGAAATAGCCATACAGGTGAGTTAGTCATACAACAACACGGTGCATTTTTGGATACTTACTTTGATGTTAAGTGTACATTAGTGACCCAAAGGTTAACATGAGAAAATTTCACTAATTTGCATAGATTCAATATTTTTTAACTATATGTTATTGTTTACTAAGGTTCTCAACCTAATAAACAGTACATCCAGTGTGTAGTTCTGATCTGTGTATGTTCCTGAACTATAAAAGTACGTGTAATAAAAGCAAACCTTCCTACTTCTATGACACTTTCACCTCTTTGATTAGAAGAAGAAAAGTTTTATCCCACTGTAAACACATAAAACCAAAGCATAGAGAGATGGCATTCCTACCGCAAGGTAGCATGACAGTTTGCAGCGCAGTTGGAAGTAGAAATCAAGTCTTCTGAATCCAACTCCACAGTTTATTCACTCAGCAAAACTCTTTCAGTTCAACTGTAACACTTTTATGGAAGAGAGACAAATGGAAGCTTCTTGCAAATTAATACTGTATTCCCAGAGTATGTGCTGTTTTTCCCTTCTACAGATAGCATACTGTATTTACTGCTTATCTATTTGGATGTCAACGGTGTAATAAAAGGCATCGTCTGTATTCCACTCACACCAAATAAAAATGCACTTATTTTAAGAACACTTTAAAAGTACACAAAAACAGGAACTGGAATGCTTTGTGAGTCTGTTTGCTTTTGGCTGAGATAATATTTCAGAAAAGCACTTAAATAGCTCATGAAGTAGTGTTTGGAACTTTTGCTACCAGGTTGTTGTTAACTCATGCTTTTATGAGTATCATACTGTAGAGTCACACCACATGCTATCACAGGATTCTTTTCTAACACAAAATGGAAATGAAATTTGCCCACATCCGTAACCCCAAAGGGATGCACTTATTTGCCTTAAGATATTTATTAAATTCCCTTTTTTAAATATGAAATATATGAATTTACTGGAAGGAAAATTCCATTCTTTTTAAGATTAAATTATTTTCAGAAACCCCCAGAGCCTCGTGTCTGATGCTCCAGTCTCTTTAGATTCCAGAAAATGTCTTCCTGTTTTTATTGCTGCTCACTACCTGGTTCAGTTAGGCACGCAATAATTTTTCTGTCTAGAATTCCCATTTTTTTAAGAAATATATAGTTGTTCTCTCTGGCTGTAATCACTAACTAATATTCATTAGCACAAGGATTTGTGTATCAGGCTTTTCAGGATTTCAAGAGCGTAAATCTTGTTTTGATTATAGAGAGTGTCCGTGAAGTGCATTTGCCTTGAATACACTGAAAATGAGCAGCATGTCAGAAATTCCCCAGCGTATCATCCTGAACTTCCTCTCAGGATTCCCAGTCAAGGCTACTCTTGGCTGCCTTCTGCCTCTCCCCAGTGCTTGTCCCTGGTGTCATCTCAGTTTTGATGTGCCACATGGCCAGGTGCCCTAAGCAAGCTATCTTCAGCTCTCTCTCCTGTAAAAGGACATTTCTGTCAGCAGTCTTCCACAGACAGCGTATATAATATTTCACCACTCTCAATGCTACTATTAATTTTATAGTAATTTAAAAATTAGTTTAGTTTTTAGTTAATGTAATAGACTACGTACCTCTACTGTCCCTTTAGAAATGTCGAATGAGATAGCTGAGAGCATCGTGCAGTTCACTCTGCGGAACGTTCCCAATTCTGTCTACCGCACAGCAGACAGAGAACTCCCGTTCACACTTGTGGCGGCTAAATGTTTACATCCTTGATGTTGTGCCTAAAGACAAAAATGTGCTTAAATGCGTCGTTGGACTCAGAGTTTTTCATCAGTCTGACAGTTAAAGCGAATTAGTAGTAGAGTTTTTGCAATGTAGTCTTGAAGCAAAACAATAAAATAGTTCCAGATAATAAGATTTAAGTTGAATAAAAATGTTGAAGTTAGGAAGGCGCTCCTATACTTTCCACAAAAGTAGTGAGCTTAAGCCTATGCCTAAGTTAGTTCCTAAAATAAGTTATATTTAGTAATGTAATTGTAGCTTGCAGTGTATTCTTTAAGTGGACATTAAGGGGATACCACAGTTTTCTATATTTTTTTTATAATTCTGTATAATTTTATTACATTTTTCTTTGACTTCTGAAAATGCATATTTTATTGTGATACTCTAAAGGAATGTTAGCGAATTTAGATTTTCAAATGCCTATATATCTTCTGACAGTGTTAAAAAAGAGAAAATAACTGAGGTACGTGGTTCTGATTTTTAATCCAGCTAAACTTCTCATCTTGGTGTCTTAGCTAAAGTATAAAGTATAGGCAAATAATATAATAGCTACATGTCTTGGCAGCTCTTGTTAAAACGATTATAATGTGTTCCCTGGAACTGACACAGGCATTCATGTGTTTGTGGTATAGATAATGTCTTCTAAGGCCATTTCCTCATCAATGGTGGAACATTACAGGTAAAGTGAGAATTGCTTCTGTCAGATGCATGGTTTGAACAGGGTGGAGGGATGCCATTTGCATGACGTCCTAATTGACACAAAGGACTTTGCTAATCAGAAACGCTGCTTGTTTCTCACTGTTACATCTTGCGTCATTGATGCTGAGTCTGCACTTCAAAGGATAAGCGTGCTTCAAACTGTGGTTGCCTGCACTCTGCATGGGGCGTGAAGCATTCGAAAGATACCGTTCTAGGAAACAGACCATGTCCTGATATTGATGCCCATATAAAGTAGTCTAGGGAAAAGAGATTAGGTTGAAATACCCATACCTAAAATGTATTAAAAAGCAAAACCAATCATCTGATTGATTCCTAGAAAGGTTTTGAAATATTTAAGGAGCTACTACAGAAATTTTAAGATACCGTATTTCTATTTGGTCTATGGCCATTATGGAATTTAGTCTTCTAGCTGTTGATTTTTCATATCCAAACACACTCAAATTGAATCTGAATGACAAAGTATATAGGTCTGAACGCTGTGCTGTAAACTACTGGTTGAATGTGGAATGCACTAACAGGGACGCTTGGTTGTGGAGAAAAGGAGTCACTCTGACATCTTGCGCCACAGCTGTCCGTAAAACTGACACAAACGTACTGTAGATAGTAGTTAAATGTATGTAACACCTTTTATAAATTGGAAATTGGGTTTATTTCTGCACAGAATTTGGTGGTACAACTCCCATTTAGTTCAGTGAAACGACAGTTCTAACCCTGGGCACCTGTCTGAAGCCCATTGAGCTAAAAAAAAAAAAAGAGGGCTGTGCTGGTTTCAAAGAGCTTACGTGGTTCCTATGCATGCCAGTTTCATGAAGATATAGGAGTTATTTAGCAATGTAACGATGTCATGCAAAAAGAAGTGAGGCATTTCAAAAACCTGTCCTGACAACTAAGAGTTAGCTTTTGATTTTTGTAATAAGATATTCAATATGTAGAAAAATACATACTCAACATATATTACCACTGGCTAGTAAGTACATGCACTTTAAGGTATAGAGTACCTAGCAGTTTGATATTGGACATGGAGTTACTTGCTGCGATTCATGGACATTCCTGCGTGCTTTAAAAAAGTCATTCTGATATGTCTTAACATGCCTGTTTCTTGTTTCATGGGTGAAGCTGTTTTGATTTCTCGCTCTGCAATCCATTCCTCCTTCATGCAACATTTTATACTGCAAATCTTTTATGGCTTGATATCATGATTTTGGCGGGGTGGGGAAGAGGTCAGGGTTACTTTTCTGTTTTGTTTTAATTAATAATTCATTTCTATAAGCAACAGGTTTTGTATTAAATCATAGTGTGAAATAACGTATGAAATAATATGCTAATTCTTTAAATGATCCAAGAAATTTTTGAAGGTGATTTTGCCAAATTCTGTTAAATAGCCGTCAAATATGCCACTCGTATAAAACACCTCTTACTGTCAAAGGTTGTGATGGTCCAAGTCTCGCTCCGGTTACAAGAATTAATTCCACCTTTACTCACTACAGTGGAAGAGATAAGAAAGCTCATTAAAACAATATACTTGAGGAAAAGGGATGCCCAGTGTCTCATTGCTCGCTACGTGAGCTCTACCTGCTGACCGGTCTGAGAACAACAGTCCTGGCAGCCTCTGCAGCAGACTTTCCCAGCTCAGCCTGGGAGGGAGTTTTTTTCTGGAGGGCATATGAAAAAGGCTGCAAGGCTCAGGCTTATTGGTGCGGCAGCGTTCATGAGACATCCTTAAGAGTTGTCCTGGGTAACTTCAGGGGTAGGACAAAGGTCACATGATTTGAGACATCTACAGTAGGAAGCGAGATACCCTAATCTGTTCTTATAGTTAATGGGGGAAAACAGGCAAGCATAAGATATGATTCGTCAGACACAGTGTGGATATCTGAGAGAGGTTTTGACAAATGCACTCCAGAAATGTCTGCTTTTCTCCATCAGCTCTGAAATGAGCCTGGATTGCTAGCTAATAGTAGAAGCAAAATATTTTCTTCTTATGCCTAGAGCCCAAAGTGTATTTGCTTCGTCTCTGTAAAAGGGAGATAAAAGTCTAACCAGGCTTATCGCATGATGTTTTTGATAAAGATAATGTCGAGTGTGCCTATCAGAAATGCCCTAGGCAATGTCGGAAAAGTGAGGGTCCATACCTTTTCAGCAACTAAAAGAGAAAACTTTAAGACTAAATTGCCTTACTTCTTTTTCTCTTCAGTTCCATCCTTGGTTTATAGTATGTGAATTCTGAAAGGATGGCAGTTTTCCACTTGTTTCGTCCCCATAGTCGATCTGTATTCTCCACGTTGTGGAAAAGGCAAAGTATAAAGTTTAGGCCAGTTTTAATTTTGGTTATCTGATCTAAGATGCAAGTCATCTTTTGCTACATTCTGTGATTATTTCTGTACTTAGCTTATAACTTTCACAGTGAAATAATTATATTTGTTTGCTATCATTTTCCACTGCTCTGTTATGTGGAGATGTTATTTAGAGGGTGTTATGAAAATCAGCCCTAATCCAGTGATACTGAAGTGTTTTTAATTTTAAGATTCAAAGCACGAACAGTAAATTAATATATTCAAGTGCAGTTGGAGTCAGTGACATTTTAGGCAAAAGAATAGAGGGGATAAATTCCAGAGAGACCTGAGCAGGGGCTAAAATTCTAGACATTTAAGTTAGAATATGTTGAATTTAGGCAAAAGCTGGCATCTGAAAAGAATTTAGAAAAAAATAATGCCAAGCCAAAAAGGGATTTGCTGGCTTTCAGGTCAGTAATTTCATTCAACAATAATGATAACTGAAAGTATATCTATGTGAGAGTGACACACCTCTTAAACTATGAGTTCGCTTAAGAAATCCTAACCTCTTCTTGCTGCTTTTTCCTCTTCCTAGAGAATATTTTTGTTGACAAGTCATCTTCAAAATTTACCCAAGAGGACGGAGAACAGACGTCAATCATTCCTGTCCATCAGGTTATTGACAAGGTCAAAGGATACTGCAATGCTCACTCCGACAACTTCTATAAAAATATAATCATGTCCGACACGTTCAGTCACAGCACAAAGTTCTAACTGGGCTTCTGATTTTTTGAACCAAAGGAAGACAACGAATCTGCATGGAATTGAGAATAATGAAGGAGCAGTTCGTCTATCATTTAATGTGACCTGTTTAGTTATTTTTCCCAGGTTATAGCGTTATCCTGTTAACAGCTTCCACCTGAGGACCAATTTCTTTACCCTTTTACTGTTTGGAAAAGGACAATTTTCTACCCTGATATTGAGCTGTTTTGAAATGAGTGCCAGCCAACATGATACCTGGACAGCTAATTGCCATCCTGTGTAAATATTTTTAAGACTGAAGAAGAGCCACAAGCCTAACTGTAAATTATGTAGTCCAAACAGAAGCAAGTTTCGACCCTTGGAGAAAGTAGCAGACATCCTGCAGTACAGGCAAGCTCTTTCTGAACAGTATACTGATGGTCCTTTCCTTTTGAGGAAAATGGATTTTCCCCACTGCATTTGTTAAGGTTCTTGCTTCTTGACTGTCCAGTGCTGTCTGTTCTTTTTTTGAGTGAAACCCTAACACCAGTGTTAAAGGGTTATTTTCAACAGTTTTTGACTAAATAGGCCTAATCATGCAAATCTTGCTTGGCGAAACTGAACGTGCTGTAAATTCAGGCTGTTTTATATTCATGTGCATAGGAACACACATACTGCACAGATGTGCTGGCTGAGAAGGATGTACAGGTTGCTAATAACTCTTTTGCCAATTTTAAGCCCATCTATACGTATGAAAGCAGTGGTGTGTGTCCTTTGGACTGGTGCAGAACAAGCAAACAGGTAAATCCAAAGTTTACAAGAAGCCATGTTTCAACATTCACTGGTCAGTACGTATGATAGGTGGCATCTCCCATTGCAACACTAATTATACAGTGTCTGCACCAATGTGTACAATCCTGTGTTTAGCGCTCCTTTTCACTAAATGAAATAGAAGACATTCACCTATCTATAGATATATAACTATATACATAAACCTCTCTCCACACATTTTTATAATAAGGCACACAGTAAATACTACAGAGGAAATCACAATGTGTAGCACAGACAATTTAAGAAATTTAAGAACAATGAATGGTGCTAAAATGACCCTTTTAGATACAAGATGGACACTTTGTAAGCCCATAGGCGCGTTTGTCAGTTTCTGTACGTCAGCTATGTCGTACGTATGGCCACCACCATCGGATGGCATGGCAACATGAGAATAGTCTGAGGATTGCAGTATGTTTCCCGGTAATGGATAAATGTCATCTTTCTTGGCGCTTCCAGTATCAATATTATCATCTCTCTCCTGCCCCCCATTGACTGACCAGATCAAGATTGTTGAAGGCATAGTGTCAAGCAGTGTTCAGGCAACTTTAATGAATTTTGCATTACTATACTGTGTGCGTAACTGTGCGGAGTTTTGTGTGGGTGCAGAGGGCAGACAAGAATATCAAATGCTTGCTTGTATTGATATCTATAAGTTTATGACTCACTAGCACACAACCAGGTCTGCCAAAATGCATCTCTCATGTAGTATGTCTCACTGCATGCCAGTCTGTATAAAATTTTTAACTGCACATGTCAATGAAAGTGTGAGCCAAAAAATCAAAGGTATTTTCAAGTAATTTTTTGAGCGAATAGTGTCTCCTAATGGAAATTTTCATCTTTCAAAAAGGTCGTTTTACACCAAAGTGTTTTTAGCCAAATATTTGATTAGTTGTATTCGGAAGGTGGCCGGAAAGTTGTGCTGTGAGACTTTCAGTTGCCAAGCAGGTGGGTGTTCAGTGATTTGGAATGTGGATTTGTGCCTTTTTCTGCTCTTTGCATGCACTTTTGTGTGCAGAGATCATTTAATGCTGTGACTGCACAAATGGAGTATTTTTGCTGGCTACAAACACCTTGTTTGCTGAGAGGGAGGAGTATGCTCTAGTTGTATGCCGTCCAGAAACACTGCTGTTGCTACAAATACCTTTAATGAAACCTCAATCTCATAACTGCAAACACTTACATGATGGTATGAATGAAAGTCAGCCCTATTTACTTCAAATGCAATTATTAACAGGGATGAATGTTATCAGATATCTTTAACAAGGGGAAAAAATTAGGGAGAGAAATTATGTACCAGCATTTACTGAATTTAATATTTTATCATCCCACTTGCTTAACTACTGTAGATAATAGTGTTCACATAGCAGCTTACTGTGAGATTTCTACCTGATTAAGGTGTTTAGAAGTGAAGAGAGGGAAAAACCGAACATTCCTGAAAAATGAGGAATTAATAAAACATAATAAATCAGTAAATATAAACAAAAGCAAACACAGTATCTTGACTGAAGCGAAGCTGTTAGCTGACTATCAATTTAATGTACAGCTACCTATATTTTTGCTGAATTAAGATTTTTCTCTTTTTTTTTTACTACCATGTAGTAATCTTAAACTGTCTATGTCAGTTAGATGCTCTTGAATGCTCTCAGTTCTCCAATGTAAAGCTTCTACTTTGTAGTTGACATGCTGTAACCTCCCTTGTATATATTTATTTATTTTTGAGGTTAAATATGTCAAAATATATTTACTCTATAATGTCTGTTCTTATTACTTTAAAAGTAAGCTTCTCCTTCATCATAGAAGAAGAGGGAAAGAATAATTTCTTATATATATTTTTTCCAAACACCTTGTGAAACAATTTACTGTCGTTCTTTTACGTGTATGAGGAAACATGTCGGTGTAATTTGTAATACTAGTCAGTGGAATATAGTGTAACAGGTTTAAAGATGGACTAAAGTGGAAAGAACCATTTTAGAATAAACATTCTTGATGTTAGCGTTCCAAATAATTAAAGTTTTTAATAGTGAATGTTTGGATTTTTTTTTTTCTATTTCAGCGTTCTGTGGCAAAAATTATTAGTGGAATTCTGGAAAACGGTTTTGTTTATTAAGTATGTGAGACAGATACATGTGCAGCCAAAATGTTGGAAAAAAAACGTGCAAGACTTAACTCCATCTCATCAGAGGAATTCATGTTGCAGAATATACTTTACCCTTTTGTGATTACCTCAATGCCAGATTTAGTGATCTAAAAGTTATGCAAGTTCATTTATTTATGGTAACAGTTATATTATAACACTGAAAGGAAAATAAAGGCAGCAAAATGACAGACAGTATACTGAGATGATGTTTTAAAAGTGATACGAATTGATACACTCAGGAATTATTTCTATTCATATGTTTTCCTCCAACTGAATTTAGTCCCTCATTATCAACAGCAGGATTTAATTTATAATCATACTTTAACTGATCACTATTACAATATTTAGTCAGCCAATTACTTGACTATATACACACTAATGTACAAACATCAAATATAACATATTAATAGCCTACCTTTAAATGTTTACCTTTAAAGAGCATGGAAATCTGTTGAAATGCACCACATCTGCTTTCTTATCTTTAAGCTTCATTACAGAAAATGCACAAAATGTGAAGATTTAGTGGTAATATTTTTAGAAAGCAATCAAAACATGTGATGAGAGGTATTTATTAATGAGGGTGCTGGGTGTGTCTCTGGACAGTATGTCCATGCAGACAGGAAACAGTACTCTTGGGCTTTATGCCTTGAACTGTGTGGGAGGACCCTCCTGAAGGAAGGAGCCCGGTTTTTTCAAGTAGGATCTTGGCAGATATCGAACTTGTTAAGGAGTTTTGCAGCCTTTGGAGGCGGATTTATTTTTCTCCTCATTTCATCACTTTTAAATATCAAGAACAATTTTATTTTAATCCTCTACTGTTAACAGCTTCCTACTGTAACTGATTGAGTTACATAAAATGCCACTTCATTTTATTACTTTTGAAAGGCTGATCTATAATCAGACACATCTACGTAACCACTAGAATAGCTCCAAAGTTATGGGGTAGCAGTATATCATTCGTGGAGCCATCAAAGAAAGTTGTTATACATTTACTGTTTATAAATGTGTATCAGTGTTATATGGATCCGTAAATAAGGCAAAGGGCTTAGAAGTTAAGGTCAGGAAACCCAACCGTGCCAACCAGTTTGTGGAGCAGCCCAGTACTACAGCTGCTGGTGTGCTGGGTGTGCTGGCTGCTGGTGTGCTGGTGTGCTCCCACTTCACCCTCGCCTTAGTCAGTTTTGGCCACTTATTCCATTTAATTTGCAGAGCTCCTGGCTAGGCTTTGGCACTCCCATCCACAGGACAATCATTTTCTGCAGTACTAAGAAAAGGACTGCTGCCAAGGTCGTCTTCTCTGCACCCTCTCAGGCTTTCCTGAGCATTTCTGGCCCCTTCTTCCGGCTCCATCCTGCTGACCAACAATGGAGGGAGGGCACTGGAGAAGATGGAGCAGACCACCAGGGCTGTCTCTGTGCCCATGAATCAAAACTAATATTTATGACTCTCCAGATTTAAGCTGAAGATCTACCACAATTCTTAAAAGCAGCAGCTGCAGCACTCGAAGGCTAACCTAGCCATAATGTCTGTGTAGTGCAGGAAGACCCTACTGCCCCCTACACAGTGAAAAATGAGTGACACAGTTCAAGTACCACACCAGAAATAGCTACATGTGTTTCATGGAGACCTTTTCTAGAAAGCTAGCCTTTCCTCAGATATGCCTGCTTACTCAAATCCAGTACTGCTATAGTTCTTAGGTTAAGTCCAGATTTGGTACTCCTGAAGTATGCATTTTGTGGTAATGTCCATATGGATTATATAACCACAGCTGTCTGACAGAGATTTTAATGATTCAGCTTTCCGGAAGAGTGTTGGCTGACCTACCCCACAAAAGAGATGCCGGCTTGAATCTTTAGCATGTTCCAGCAAATCAAAGACTCCTGGCTTCTCTAATAAATTGAGGATTTTGTATCCAGATTGTTCTAGTAAGAGGTCTCAAAAATATAGTTGTAGATAGAGAGGAAGCCTCAAAAGTGCGAGACTGTATTGCATAGGTGAAGAGTTGGAGAAAGAGCGAGTACTGACAGATTTGGTCCAGTGTTTTCTTTGAGCGCTTGCACAGCCTGGGTACCCCAAGGCTGTTGGCGTGAGCTGGTTTTGCAGTTCACAGCGCTGTGTCCCCACATAGAGGCGCTCTGCCTCCTTCCATCCTGCGCTCTCCCCACCGCCCGGCCGATGCCGCTGAGCTGGGCTCAGAAAGCTTCGTGCTCCGGCATCACCTCTGCCTTTTCCCTTTTCGGGAGCCTGGAGAAGTGAGGGGAGCAGGACACAGTAGAGGAGCGCCTTCTGCTCTGCCTGGTGATCGTTGGGCTCTCTCTGCCCCTAGCCTGTTGTATTTCATAGCCTTTCAGTTCCAAATGCGGTAAAAGTAACGATATTACCCATTTTCACGGTTCCACTCTGGTTTTCTTTTCCATTCGCCTGGCACTAATGTTTTTCCAGCAGAGGGCAGTGGCTTATTGCAAGTCGTAAAGCTGTTAAAATCAAGTGAAAAATGCAACAAGATTCTTCCATATATTAGCACCGGTGCAGAGATAAGTAGGAGAGTTCATATCAGGTTTGTCTATTATTTAGTAATCTCTTACATCACAGGATAAAGCAAACACTGTGTGCTAGAAGAAGTAAGGAGAGAATTGCCTGCCTACATTTGGGCATATTTAGTGGAGCCAGTAATACAGACTCTCTTTTTCTGGTTGCTACATTTTCTCCTTTTTTGCTCTGAGGGGATGTAATGGAATTAGCAACTGCTACATTGCTGTCAGCTGAGCAAACAGAACCAGCTCACCAGTTTAGGCTCACACACCAGCTTTTTACAGTACTGGCCGAAAGATATGATTTGCTAGGCTGCCGTCCTGTGATTCAGGAAATCGCCATGTGCGTATAATTGTCCATGGAGAAAAAGGCAACAGCCTTCTGTTGACAGTGGCAGACAGGTCCATTCCTACCTACCACTTCTTCCCCTAACAACATGGGGACAGAGCTGCACCCAGTCAGGCCCTCCACTCCAAATGCTCTTGCCCAACCTCATGTATCACCAGGTTAGCTCAGGGCAAGGCGCAAGGCTGCTCACTTGCACACTCAGCTGCAGACCTGCTGCCAAAACTGCGGTACCATGTTGCAATTAAAATATCTCCTTGGCAATTCTGGCTACATCTTCAAGGGAAACAACTCTGAAACAGTGTGAATCAAAATGGAGTCATCATTTTCCAAGTTTCTTGTTTCCTTTCCATTTGCTTACTTTTGTCATTTTATTACAACCTAATTTAAAAAAAAAAAAATAGTCTTGGGCCTCATTCATGAACTTGTGCACTTTGGATTCTCTGTGTAAAGCCACTCTTTGAAAAAACAGTAGCACAGCTAGTCTACTTTTCCAGACTCTCTAGTGATAACTGGTGCTGTTCAAATCTGTCATGATGCTGACTGCCAAAGTGTACCACATCGTACCGTTCTGCTTTTTGTGCTATGCTCACTTGAATAAGGGACCACGGGTGTTTCAAGGAGCTGTAGGAGGCTGGGTTTTCTCCTCCCCCTCCTGAGCTGACCTCATCTTGCTGAGGAGGGGGCGAGAGGAACAGGAGGATATTGCAGTGCAAGGTGCTGCAGGGGCCCAGTCCTCTTCTCTCCCTTCTCTTCCCTATACTCCTCTGGGGTACGGACTTCCCCACCATAGCACACCTCATCCATGCTTGTACTGGGAGTCTCCCAACACGTCCATCTCCCCCTACACATGCACCATCTCTTCTCTGGCACCGTGCTAAGGAAAGAGGGGTGGTCTGGGGCATGTGGAAGGGGCAGGGTCATGCCCTGCTTTAGCCTCTCCTGCTTTTCAGAGAAAGCATGCAGGAATGGCTACTCTGGCTGTGGGAAGAAGGAAAGTTGGGAAGGGAAGCCCAGGAACAGTCAGGGCTTGGTGTATAGAGAGGGGCCAGGTGTACTGAACGAATCATAAGGAGGGGCAAAAGACTTATATTACAGACATCATGAAACACTAGTGGTGTTGGTGCTGCACACGGTGAGAGTCATAGCACAACCATGTTACTGCTATAGCGCCTCTTATCGAAGCTACACAAGCATGGCTGTGCATAAGAAGGAAGGAGTGAGTTCCCCACCATTTTTCTGAGCTTCCTAGATCCGCTACAAATAACACTCATTTCCCCAGAAAAGGAGATGGATCAGCATGTTTCTCCTTCTTGCTGCAAGGAAGATCATTGTCACATTGCTCAGAATTATTCATTTTCTAGAAATACCCAAGGCACAGGCTGAACTGGTCATTGTGCAGCTACTGATAGTGCTCCCGAGATCATGGAACTGTAGTCTAAAGATTAAGATTGTAGGAGAGCTAAAGAAAGAAGAGAGTCCATGGGAAGCCCAGCACTGGAAAAGCTTGGCAGGGGCACCCGAGGGCAGGGTCTGAGGCACTGCTGTTTTCTGTGCAGACAGGGAACAACTTGGAGAGCTTTCAGAGGAGTTTTGTGAACGTCTGCAACATTTTGGTGTCGGGCAGGCTTTGGCTGAGCTCTCCAGCCAGCATAGGAGGGCAGCTCCAGGGATCATGAAGCCCCAGCTGGCCAGCCAGACCTAGAGCCATGGATGGCTTGCTCACCATCTCTTTGTTACAGTCTAGAGATGATGGTAACTGCAGAGAAGGAGTTGAAACAGTCAAGTTATCCCCTTTTGCAAGCTAGCAGGATGTATTTAGAGACAGAGCTAAAGTAGGATTTACACAGGTGAAGCCTTAAAATTATGATCCAAGCCATCCCTCACCTCCTGCACCCCTGCTCTGGTTGTGTGGCAGCTCTAACTGGAGGTGAGGAACTCACATTTATTTTAGCCACATTAGACTGCAGAGAAACTGAGGTCAGGTCTCAGTTCGCAGCTGATGACTCTA